CCCCACCCCTTCCTACGGTACTGCTAGGGAACTATCAGATCTTCTGAAGGGTGCAATGAGGTATGAGGAGATAAGTTAGGTGTAAAAGGACAAGCCGATAAGCTAAGTAGATAAACTCAGGCTTGTCCCTGCCTGAATGATCCCCCATCCCCACTGTGCAGCCCCTTTGCAAGGGGACAATCACTGCTATATATAAATTAGTTTTTGAAATGGGGTGCCACTCAATTCACAAAAGTTACGCAGGGATGCCTTGAGTCCAAAAAGGTTGAGAATAACTGCACTACTGTCTTTTAGAAAACAGATACAATTAAACTAACGAGCAAAAAATAAAAACTGTGTAGAGCACATCCTAGGCCTTATCCTTAGGCACATAAGTCTAAGCCTACTCTACCTTGCTCAAATCCGTAAAAAATGAACAGTTAACACAAAACATGGATGGGTTCTTCTTCTTACTGCTTTACATGCCTTCGTATTGAGGCTAAGCTCCATTAGTAGGTGCACAACATTATTACATCTACTTAAGAAACTAACAGGTGGAACAGGCTCTGCCTATAGTAGTCCACATCACACTGGACTGGATTAAAAACAGAACAAATCTAAAGAAAAAAAAGAACCCCAAAACCCAAGACATGCAGTCACACTAACATGTGCTTCCTTCTCCTGCTCTGTCTTCCCCAGCTTTGCTAGATTCCTAAGGCATAAGTAGAGGCTGGAAATGCTATCTAGAGAACTAAAGCTCTGATTGTTTTAGACACTTGCCAGATTTAAACACTAGAGACCAGATCCTATTCCACCTATTACATGTTAGCTTGATCTCATTCTACCCTGTTCAATTCCCTGAATAACAGCTAATACAAAAAATGGATGGACAGCCTCCTGCTTTTCTTGACTTGGTCGTAAGGCTAAGATGATGGCATGTTACAAAAGTAAATGTGTTAACATTTAATTTAGAAATAAGCAGGGTGAAATAAGATCACACATTAGGTACCTAATAGATAGAATAGGATCTAGCATATTGACCTAAATTATTTAATAAAAATCCATTAAACAAGTGCAAAAATGTAATATAAATATTTGATTTGATATCTGCGGAATGATTTGCTTGATCTGATGCTGTCTCTTATTTATTTTCGCTGTATATTGATAATATTCTATAATCCAAAAATTCACTTGACAAGAACATATCCCCCAAAGGTTTTGAGTTAATGGAGCATGTAAATGGGGTATTTGTCTCATACATTTTTAAATATTATTTGCCTAAGAGAAGATAAAATGTATTAGAATATTTGGATTTCAGCTGCAAAAGGAGGAAATGAGTAACTTACACCAAGGAGTGCAACTTCGATATACAAAAGATAGTGTTTTGAATAATGGCTTTTCAGATAGATGTCTGGTTAGAGGCATTTTACCATCTACTGTATATATCTATATGCAGGATGGATATATGAGTGTGTTTTGTCCTGTTTTATGAAGATAAGAAATAATGGATGAAATAAAATTATACTTGCTCCATTTTACTTGTTCAACTCCATTAAAATTAGAATGGGTCATTAGCAGAACAGCAGAAGTTGATCCCATCCAGACAAACCTAAAACGTGAATTAAGACGGCAAACACAGCAATGAAGAACTTATGCTGCAATGTGCTGAGTGCATTCAACTTCTACTAAAATCCTTCAAGTATACATTACTTAATAAATATATGCCTAGTTTGACTAGAAAAAGATAACGAAACTTATCTTCGATTACCCGCTTATAATTGTATTGGGTCATGGTCAATTTTGCTATTTGTATATCCATTTAGGCCAGCTGACTTCCTTGCCTGACTAAATATTGTCTGCAATGTCTGATGTCCCATCAGCTAATACTATTCACATACTACTGCACCTAGACCTTTATTATTTCCTCTGATAGGCTCCATTTTCTTAGGCTAAATTTCTCTCCTGTTTCCAAAAACATATTCACATTCTGTGTATGCTTCACCACGCTGTACAAAAAGTAATTAAAGCAATATTGTGTTTATAATTGTGTTCACCTTTGCTGAATTGAATGGTTTTTAAAATAAAAATGCATCTATGGCTAAAATACTGACAGTTCAGTGAATGAACTTTTATATACAAAGTCCAATTGAAACAGCTAAAGATGATAAATAGGTATTCACGTAATGACCCTACAAAGACTTAGGTGGGTGTTTAACTATACAAGCAAGAAACTCCACTGACTTCTAGGGAGCTACCCATATACATATATTTAAGTAAGGTTTAAGTCATAGTCAGGCCCCAAGGCCATCAAATCCATTCTTGCTCATGAAAAGGACAGAATTCCATAATGGAACAAATGTCACACTATTAAACAAATATGCTGACTCTGATAATACTTTGGATTGTAGTCAAAAACATCAATTAATTTATACATCCTTAAATAATTTTCTTAGCAACCGGAGAAATGTAGCTAACTATGTTAAAGCTCAAATTTATGGGTCCCTAGGGCTAAATCATACATTAAAATTATTTGTATTTTTTATTCCCATCCCCAAACGACCTTTGTCTTACAAAAGACGCGTAATAGTCGGTGAAAATTTGGCATCTCTTGGAAAAGGGAACACAGAGCGAATCCTGAATACACAGAAGGATGGGCACGAGTAGATTTGTGAAGAAAATTTACACAGCACCTGTCAGACCTATTCTGGCTCTAATCACGGCTATTTGTTCAACACCTTTGCGAGGATGGCATTTACAGTAAGTTTCAATGACAAAATTAACTATGAAATACTTTTATACCATAAATAAGCTGAACTGAGCCCCAATACACAATTCAGAATAAAGCTTTTCAATAAAGCAGTAAGTCATGTTAACTACAAGGTACACAATGTGAAATGTTTTAATCAAAGCAGTGCAGCGATTTCAAAGTACTTATGGACACAAATATCTACGTACAAACTTCCAAAAAAGATGTATGTGTTCTATAAAACTGAGAGTTCCACAGTCTTCCTCCAGAACACAGGAAACATAAAGGCCGCAGTAAAGAGAAAGATTGAGAGAGAGTGAGAAATAATTAGAGCAAATGGAAATCAGTTATAAAACTTATGCAATAAATAATGAATCTCTTTCGAACAGTTTATCCGCTGACAATCAAAGTCCTTCTGGAATAAAGAAATTACAAACTTTAAGGGCTATTATTTTTTTCTGAAAATAAATATAGGGTGTGAATAATATTTTTGAGTTTCTGACAAGCAAACCAATCAGTTCAGTTACTTCTCTGGAGAATCATGCTCTGTTTGCCTCAAATCACTTTCAAGAATGACTGTGTGCATAGGCATAATTGTTCATTATGAAAAAAAGCCTATACTATATTATCCTGAAGATATATCATCTGTTCTATATATACACAAGAGGCACGTCACTGAGAAAAATGTTACATAAAGCCAATACTAATTAAAACCACTTTCTAGTGCAAGATTGAGAAATCAACAGAAAAAAATAAGAATTTCAAGTCCAACTGAAGTTAATGGTAATATTCCCACTGACTTCCATAGGGCTGGTACTTTTTCCAGGTCTACATTATGACTCACTATAAATCACTACTACTTCATCAAGTATGCTGCCATATACTAGATATTCTAGGGACATATCTACACTACTTCTTAGCTGGCTAAATTACCACACGCTGAATTCTGTGTGGTTGGAGCAACACTGTGATTAATGCCCAAGCTACTTGTTAAACTTAGCTCAGGCACTAGACCAAAGGTGGGCAAAATGGGCCTGGGGGCTGGATGTGGCCCGTCAAGCCATTCTATCCCGCCCGTGGGGCCCCTAAAAAATGTAGAAAATTAATATTTATCTGCCCTGGGCTGCCTGTCATGCAGCCCTCAATAGCTTGCCTAAACTCAGTAAGCGGCCCTCTGTCCAAAATAATTGCCCGCCACTGCACTGGACTGTGGTTCTGCAGCTTAGATATATCCTCAGCATGATTTGAATGACTCAAGTTTCCCATCAATAAAAACTCCATTGCTTCAATGTGTGAGAGAGTTTACAGCACACTTTCTAGGAGATGAATTAAGGTTTGGCTTTTCTCATGCCTTAAGCTCCCCACAAAGTTAATCTATTTTCAAAACAGTTTACTAAGTTGAGTCATTTTCAGACTCTTTGAACATGCACACTACATTCTTGGGCACAGCTATATAATATCATAAGAAACCTACAGAGATTATATCATACAATAACCCTGTGCATCTGACAGAGATTTCTGACACGGTTCACACTGACCTGACTAACACTATCCCAACAAGAAAAATAACTGCAGCCTGTAGCATGCATGTACCTTGCACTATATTTTGGGAGATTTTCTGGGAGCAGCAGCTGCATAGTACCAGTCTGCAGCAAACTCTGCTAGAGCCCTGTCCAGACTACAAGTATATCAAATAGTCATTCCTAAACCAAATGTAATTAATCACCTATCAACTGCTGCTCTTTAACACAACTCTAAGTGGATTTTAATGGTACGGATTTCACTGAAATAACAGTAACAGCTTTTAAAACCATTACCTTCTTCGTCATGACTGTGGACTTTGTTTAACAGACCTTGTACCGAAACTGAATACTCATTGGGGACCAGCAGGCCTATAAAATCATATTTTCAGATAGGCCTCTACTGGCAATTTTGGGGAATCTCCCATTTTTGCATTAGCATCAGTCCTGACACCAGTTTGGACTGGCTACCAGTGCTCAACCCCATGTCGCAATAACAAAAACAGGCCCTTATGCCTGTCAATTTTTTTTATTACTACTAAATCTATTTCAAATCCTGTCAGAAATGGAAACAACCGTTGTTGCAGATGCACTGGTCCTACTAGCACACGCAATGCGCTTCAGGAAAAATAAGATGGCCGTGAAGTAAGATGTTAAAATGTGCCTTGTATTGTCACTTTTAAAATCCTGCAGATAAAAAGAACACATTTCAGACAGATGCAGTTTAAAAACTGTCAAACACATGAAACTCTTACCAGGAACGGACTCCAGCAAATGCAAGACACGCACATTATAGCCAATAGCTGAATGATCATTTCAAAATGATGAGATCTGCCTTGTCTCTGTTGACTTTTAAATTTAACTCTTAACAGAGTAACTCCTGTCACCGCATTGCACAAGAATGAAATGGCAAGGGCCAGTAACCCAAGGCAAGAAAAAAGCAAGAGATAAAATCTGTCTTCCCAGTCCTCAATATGTTCTGTTTTATAGAAACACCAGGTCCGTGATGCTTGAATTTGATAGGCTCTCAACCTAAGAATAGGCAGAAAAGCAATAAAAACAGCAAAGAGACATACCACAGTCAACATCATTTTCACATGTTTAGAAGTCATTTTTGTAGAATGAAATATTGGCTTAGTGACTCCAATGCAACGTTCAACCGCCATCACACTACCCAGAAAGAGAGGGCACAAACCAAAGAATACCATACATATGCCAAAAACACTGCAAAGAACGTTTGACTGATTAAATCGAATCCAGTCTTTATCAGATGCATACACGAACACTGCAATGGTTCCATTGATGAGATGGCCAAAGAGGTCGGTGACAACCAAGCCACTTGCAAAAAGCAAAAAGGATGCTTTTGATTTCTGCCTAAATCTCTGATATGCCTTCATGAGAATCACTATTGCCAGACTGTTCGACAAAATCCCCACTGTCATGAAGATTATGGAAAAAAATACCGAAATCTTTTTCTCTGTGTGGCAGGTCGTATTTTTAAAGATTCCGAATCCAGACGGGACCGGCGGTTTTGAACCGTTCATTGTTGGGAAAGGAGACGCAGAACTCAGACCATTTCAGCAGCTGTGTGGTCTACGCGCATCTGTAACGTTCAAAGAAAACACATGCACGTTACAAAGGGCGGGCTGCTGTCCCGGAGCCGAGGCTGTGCTCAGCTCCAACAGGTGTGCAAGGTGGCATCTCACTTTAGGGCTCAACAGGCATCTCTGCGTATTGTTATGTTCAGGGCCAGGCGGGAGGTGCTGCTAAACGCCCGTGTTCAACTGTCACACGCAATTCAATCCTGCTGGGAACATGTTTCCTGCCCCTGCCCCTGAGACCTCCCGAGCGGAGCCCCTTGCGGGGCGGCTCCCGAGCATCCTTCCTCCGGCCGCAAAACCTCGGACAGCTTTCAGACCCCCACGGGGGAAAGTGCTCCCCAGGCGGCGGGGCGGCCGCCTTTCCTTTCCGCCTCCCCGCTCCCAGGCAGCCCTTCCCGCCGGCGCCGCGGGGGGCCGGGCGGCGCGGGACCGGCTCCGAGCGAGGAGCCCGGCTGCTCCGCGGCGAACGAGACGACGAGAAG